TATCTGTATTAATACGTATGATATGTCCATTAGCAATATGCTATATCATTTATAAGTATTTTATATTATGATGTTGACAGCAACATGCTGATCAGAAAGATAATTGATGCCTTAGTCACTTGTTATAGCTAACGACCCCCGACCAATATGGGGGTATGCATAAAATATCCATCTTGAAAAATACTTAATAGAAGCATCTGATACCTAATTTCTATCAGACATATGAAAATATCGTTTCTAAGCATTCCATCAACTGTACAATGATTAAATCAAATCAGTTAGCATTTCCACTATATTAATAAATATATACTTCATTATAATTATATATGATTTATAAATACACGATATGTTTTAAGCTAAGGGTATAGGCAACTTCCTTGATAAGTTTGTTAATCAATTTTGTTTTTGATAAGTATAATGAAATTCGTTTGAAGTATAAATAAGCAATGAAAGATAAGGTAATTTCAAAACATTCTTTAGTGAATAAAAATGAGGAGATAATTTGACATAAATTAATTACAAGATTTTAAATAACAGTCAATATATTTTGACAAACGGGACTTGGAATTGTAAAACAGATGATTTAATTATTTAAACTATGTTATGAAACATTTTTACCTAATTTATCCTGAAAATGCTAGTTTTGATTTCAAAGACGCATGTACTGTAAAAGTTTCAGAGATGAAACACATTTGTGACATTAATGGCTTTTGCTTTTTTGACAATTAGTTATGATATAGTGATTTAGTATTTTGTAAAGAAGTAAAAAAACAACTTCATTTACATTGTGCTTCTTTTATGACTAATTATGAGTAAGCGTAACTTTTCTTCTAACATCGTCTAAATTATTTAGAAATATAAGACACGTGTTTTCTTTTCTTAAGAGCATATATTGTACAGTAGCCATTTCGGAGCCTTAATGTGCCTTTAAGTTTATTCGTAACATATACTGTGAAATATGTCTTTACATTTTAAAGGCATTTACTATCACCTAGAATCAAGCCGTGTCTAAACATTCAGGAACTAATATTCATTTCAAATGCTCTATTTAATGCAAATTATGGATGCTTAAACAAAAAATATCATTGGTGATACCTTTACCACTAATAATACATCAATGCAGCATTGTTTTAATACTCGATAATTATAAGTCTTGTTATGTTAATTTCACAAAGAAAAACTGGAGCTCTTGAAGTATATTGGTATTCAGTGTGATTATAATGAATTACTAGTATTTGCTACGGTCATTAATCGTCATGAAACCGATATGTACTAACACTTTATATATGTATAAGACTCAGTCATTCCAAGTCTACAATGCCATCTCTGTCGGCATTGCTCGTAATCCATTACTTCATATACACGCCTTTTAACGCCTTTTTCATCCCCCCCCCCTTTTTGTTGTCTCAAATGATGAAGAAATGCCTTATTTAGGCCCCAAACACTTGTTTTTGTTTGAGAAATGTTGTTAAAAAAAGTGACCTCTTTTTCGGCGCGGCCCCCCAACCAAAAGATACATCAGGGGGTTGCCAGAAGGGGGATGTGCCCCCTTCTGTTTGGGGTGTTTGAAGGGGGGCGGAGTCCCCCTCATCGCCAAGAAAATTTTGGACTTGTGAGAGGCTGTAAATGACCCCAGATTGATCATAAGGTAACGTGTAACCAACGCTGAAAAGCATTTGACTCTGTCTCAATCCATTGAGAAGTTGCAGCACTTTGAAATCAATTTTGATGGAAAAAATCAATGCAAAATAGTGATTTTTGGCAATTTTGAGATGTCCCCTCGTTGCCATGGTAACAGAAAATTTAAGCCTGAGCATGTTGTTGCAAGGGCAATAGTCCAGTCAACATTTGTGCCAAGTTTGATTAGTGTTGAAGCAGTTTTTATAGTATTATAGCAATTTGAACTTGTAACGGGAGACTTTTCAATGAAAACAGCCATTTTTCACAAAATGCTCATGAAGTAATGGGTTAATGAAAAAAATAAAAAAATCTACAAAACAACAATTTTTCATCAAATTTATATGACAGGCCATGTTTAAACATGAAAAAACGCGATTTAGGGTCATTTCAAGTATTTTCATCATTTTCTGTTAACCCATTACTTCATATACACGCCTTTTAACGCCTTTTTCATCCCCCCCCCTTTTTGTTGTCTCAAATGATGAAAAAATGCCTTATTTAGGCCCCAAACACTTGTTTTTGTTTGAGAAATGTTGTTAAAAAAAGTGACCTCTTTTTCGGCGCGGCCCCCCAACCAAAAGATACATCAGGGGGTTGCCAGAAGGGGGATGTGCCCCCTTCTGTTTGGGGGTGTTTGAAGGGGGGCGGAGTCCCCCTCATCGCCAAGAAAATTTTGGACTTGTGAGAGGCTGTAAATGACCCCAGATTGATCATAAGGTAACGTGTAACCAACGCTGAAAAGCATTTGACTCTGTCTCAATCCATTGAGAAGTTGCAGCACTTTGAAATCAATTTTGATGGAAAAAATCAACGCAAAATAGTGATTTTTGGCAATTTTGAGATGTCCCCTCGTTGCCATGGTAACAGAAAATTTAAGCCTGAGCATGTTGTTGCAAGGGCAATAGTCCAGTCAACATTTGTGCCAAGTTTGATTAGTGTTGAAGCAGTTTTTATAGTATTATAGCAATTTGAACTTGTAACGGGAGACTTTTCAATGAAAACAGCCATTTTTCACAAAATGCTCATGAAGTAACGGGTTAAATCAGATGCTTATACCAGAAATAACTCAACTTAAAGACCGTAAAACAATATATTAATATTGAATATCATTTTCATTTGCTCTTGGAATGATCGCAAGGCCCATTCACTTGATTCGAGTAAACAAAACAACTGTAAAAAACCATATGTTCAGTATTCAATGCAAAGTTTGGCGTCTGTTTCTTGTAAATAACTAAAGAGATTGAAAGCAATATGTACACATAATTATTTCATTTTACTGCTAAAATACCTTGACTTGTTTACTTTAGAAAATAATATTTTATTCAGACAATCTGTCATTGCTAAGTGGCAATATAAATCAGATATCATTATTGTCTTATTCAATAAATTGATCGATAAAGTTTTAGTTATCAAATTCAAAATTAGAAGCCAAAGATTAGTTTGAAGAATTTAAAAGGTCTAACAAATTATTGAATAAGTGCATACATGTTTTTGCAAATTATTTTTTACATATCCAATTTATGTCGCTTACATTTTATAATGTTTAATTTTAAAGTTGATTGTTATTTACTTTTCATTTTGTTTAAATACTATTAGATCACAGATGTATTATATATCTTTGACTTCGGATAACCTATGCCGAGTTTTTCAAGACTTATAATTTGACACTGTTTTTCATGTAAACATTTTCTGTTTGTTACAATGCTAAGAGGTCCGGACAGTAGATTCTGTTTAGTACATTTGTCTCGGTACTCTTGCAATCAATCCGAGTTTGCAATGCTGTCAATTTTGCCGTTTATACGTTCTTTAACATTTCCATGCTACCTATTTTCTTATCTAAAACTTACTTTCCTATGTCTATATACAAACATTATCCGTGATACCAATAAATGATATGCGAAGGATTGCAATAAATTTTCCTATGTCAATTTGCGTAGATGCATGAAATATGTGCGGTAGTAAGACTAGATATGGACTATACAATATATCCTTGTAAAATTCTCTTTAATGTCAGACGTTGGTATGAAAATGTTGCAGCAAATTTCTCGAGATATTATATCAATACATATGATTGAAACTTATGGTATAGATAAAATTATCAACAGAACAAAAATAAATTAGAGTAAATTTACGAAGTTCTTCAAAAATGTTATGATTTGTAATCTTGTACATGATGATTTTGTTATGTTATTTAGTGTCTTTATTTTATTCTCTTTTCAATTTAATGATAATGTAATTATAATTGATCAGATTCGACTATGTCATTACGCTAAATAAAGAAACTTATATTTCTATAATTGTGAAATTGATAGTTTGTACTACTTATGTATGATTAAACTGGTTACGCACTTATTGCATAATGTTTGAAAATGCACTTATCAAGTTCTTAATATGAACAGCGTAGCTTTACTACTACTTTTTAAAACACTTTCCAAACTGTAGATTTAACTGGAGATATTTATTCATCCGACGGTAGAAGTCCAAACTGGAACACGAACCCTAGATTCTGCATAACAGTATCACAGTAAACCAACTGACATTTTGTATTAACGACGGAATGTGTTATGTTTTTCTTACTTGAAAATGCAATAAAATTTATTTTATATTTCAAATCATTGTGAAAATATAGTTTTAAGATATAAAACAGTTTTATTTCAACATAAATTTAAGCTTGCATCTGCTTCACTTTGATTTTTATTGGAAAATAGAAATTGTTCTATAAGTATTATTACATCTTAGTACAATATACAAATTGATTTTCAAAACCGGGACATTTGGAAAAGCTTCATAATGATTTTATGGATTATATTTACCCGGAATTTGTAATTGTCTAAGCGTTTTTGTTATACAAACAGTCTTTCTCTAAAATATGTTGCATTTAAAAATGATCTTTTGAAAAATGTATACATTAATAAAACATTGAAGGTGGTTATTTTGATTTATTCTGTCACGTAGCTAGCTGACTAACATAAGTCATCACGTGACGCCCTAACTAAATTTGATGTGTAAACGTTGTCTTACAGTTATGACACTTATTGCGGTAAAATGTATTTATTTGTTTCGTTGCGCATGTGATTGATATCAAAACAAGTAATGTAATTGTTTGAATTTGCGATACATATTCTACTTTAAATATATTGTTTATGTGCAACCAATACTTTCTCTTAGCTATGACGACGCTGAATGTTATAGCGTGTCTTATGCTCACAAAGCGTCGTCGACGTTATCATCATTATAATCATTACTATCATCATCATCATAATCAAAATGATTATCAACAACAACAAATAATCATCAGAATATCTATTATTTATTTTCAGTTTCTGGGTCAAAGGTAAAATCCCCGGCACAACTTCCATCTTTTAAAGATACACAGTCAAGTTACACATTTCCAGAGGGAGCGTTGGCAGTTTTATACTGTTCCATACAAAACCTGGGGGCCAGAACAGTACGTTGTTTTGTTTTCTAACGTAATTTCTTTTAATTTTATGAAAATATCTTTATCTGGTGTCTATGTATAACCGATAAACTCTAGGCGTACAAGGTAAAACAGCAGCCATATTTTCAGACAACTGGTTCGGCCTTTTCAATCGAGGTCAACCTCTTAGTCATGACTGTATAAAATGAAAGAAATAGTGCATGTTCTATATCTAAACCGATTGACGGGAATTAAAAATTTATTGTAGCATTATAATAAGACAACGTGCAAAATATATGTCCTGGCTTTCTCGGATCAACATTGGCTCCCAAAAGAGATAAACTTTAAAAAAACAACCACATTTAAGTCTTATTGTTTCACAATTAATGCCAATTCTAAAATGTTTGGCATAAAGAATTGCCTTATGTACATACAATAATTCTTTAACTCACTTTAATGGTTTTAAAATGTCTCCGTCTTAGAGTGAATTGTACCGTATCTTATAGATGCTTAGTAATAAACATATCTTAAAGTTCATCTCCTCTCCCATTGCTGAGAAATAAGATATGGCATGCTTGATCAGTTTAACCTATCCCGGTTTACAATTACTTAAAATAAAACACATCTAAGTCTACATGCGTCAAATTAAAATGACAGAGCTTAGATATTTTGATATTTTGCACGGCAAGTTGATTAGAATAGAAAAAAATCTGAATCCCTAAAGAAAGGTCAAAACGACAAAATTTTAAATGTTGCAGGCTCGGTTTAATTGACTGTACTGGAAAGTGCAATTGTTGTAATATTTAGTCTTATGTTAAATGATGTTTTGTTCGATAATGACAATAACACTTCATTTAATTCTACTACTAACTCCTATTGTGTGTAGGCATCTTTCAATTATGGTTCTTGTACGCTTCACATATATCCCTTCCTCATTTTCGAGTTTCTGTATGGCATAATAGGTTGTGTGGCGTAAAGCAACGTATCCTAATCCGCTAACTGTTGGAAAAATGACGTACGTTCCAGATGATCGTTATCAGGTCCATCATATACCAGACAAAGAAGAGTGGAACCTGCTTATAAAAGATATTCAACACAACGACTCTGGAATATATGAATGTCAAATCAGTACAAAGGAAAAATACATTCGTAAACTAATACGGGTTATCGTAGTGGGTAAGACTTCCGTTAAATAAATAATCATAGTTTAAATACCGGTATATCACATTTATTTATGATAGAATAATCAAGTGTTATATAGAGATGAATTCGTATTAAAGTTTCAAATTTACCCGGAGTTAACATTTTGATGACCTCGTAATAACTTATTAGTATGTTAAATTTTTTCTCAAAAGTAAAATTATTGTCTTTATCAGCTCCCGTAAAATAATTTATATATTTTATAATTTAACTAATGTTGTAAAAGGTTATTTGACGACTTCTCGGCTTTACTGTTGAAATACCCCAGATGCCCTGTCGTACATTCTTTTCGTCTGTCGATTTTCCGATAAATATTTTTAACATTAATCTCCAAACAGAGAAATGAGTAAGAAAAACGAATGATTTGAGAGAAGAGTAAAATGTTAGTCTCAGTATCGTAAAATCGTAGTATGACATACGACAATTAGAAAATAGTTAATACAATTAATATTTATGCATTAAATTTAAATGTCTCTTTCTATATTTTCAGACAGACCATATGCAAAGAGAGGTAATTTTGACTTGTATTTTTAAGAATAGGTGTTTGTAAAGCTTTATTTATAAATAATATTTGTTAATAAAAGATAAATATTAAATTTAAATCTACCAATAATGTTTTATAGGCAGGGACTTGTTGATAAATGTGTTCCTTTGAAATATTAAAAAGACAGCTTATTTAATAGTTATTTACATTTCTGCCCGTATTAGGTCTTAATAGTTTTGCAAATTTATATCCAAAAGATAACTTTATAATAACATGTGACATAGATAAAGCAAATCAAATCATTCAATGTTATGATTGCTTCAGAACTGCTATGAAAAGTAAAGACAATACTGTTAATACATTAAAGGGAATTTTGGCACAATGTATCCGATACTATGATTTATAAGAACTTTTAGCATGACAATCACATGAACAGTTATCTTATTTTTCCTATTTTACACGTAATTTTATGGGCAAAGTGAAACGTTTTGTCTAATTACAGACATCGTGATAACAGGACGTCAGAAAATGAAGAAAGGTGAAACATTACTGCTATCTTGTAAGGCTACAGGTGGGAAATCTGCACCAGATGACCTTGACTGGATCAAGGGCAATAGGAAACTTATATCAGACAAGTCTGGAAGAATAAACATTACAAAACACATATCATATGTCACAAATACTATTATTAGTAATTTGACAATCAAACAAGCAGTAGCAAACGATGCCGGGACTTATGAATGTAGGACGACGGACTCCATGTCGAGACAGTTTAGCGTCGACGTCACAGGTGAAAGTTCGGATAAAGATAAAAGTAGGTATTAAGGGGTAGCGACATGCATGCGAGACTGTAAACACATTTTTCATTTTTCATTTTCTGATGCAAAACTTCTCACATGCTTATCATTATTTCTATAGAAATTAAATTAAGATATTATCAAATTATATAATTTATTATTATATATGTTTTTGACATGCTTAATATACATTGAGTTATACATAGGTACTTAGAAAATGCAAATTGTATACACTTGCATTGTATTGATGGCCATTTGGCGAACTCTTTCGCATCCCAAATACTTACCTTTCTCATCCAAAATCATCAACATCATGAAACTCATTTCTTTTCGTATATGTAGTTTATGTAGAGGTTTTCTTTATTCGAATGTAATAAATAAATTGAACAGTTACATCATATTTGTGATATTGTTTTAATGTATCTGAATTATCAATTTTTTTGTCATTTTCTTTTTCGAACGTCAAAAACACATGTTGATTTTTGATGATACTTTTAATCATTGTTAAAACCAATATCGGAAATTTTACAAAATGTATTTAGGTTTTGCAAAAGGCATTTTCAATAAATAACAATCGACGAAGAAATTGATAAGTAGTACTAATAAGTAGATTTTCACAAGCAAAGAAAAACGTTATTTCCTTTGCATACAAATGATTCAAATATTTTGGCGTTTACCTTTTGCCGTGTTCTATCTGTTGTAGGAACGATAACACAGCACGCACCTGCAACCTCGTGTGCTACGACGTCAACTGTTGTGCTCTACGTATTTGTTTTCTGTGTACATTGCTCATTTAGGTATAGACGAGTGTTACAACTATTGACAACAATTTTCAAATTCTGGATTGTGTTAGCACATTCAATCATGACGTGAGATTGTGTACCAGAGGCTAGGAAACGTAGAACATACACGTGTACTCGGCAGGTGAAATTATGATAATTTTCTGTATTCGTTTGGATTGACGTAACAGAAGTGGCAAATGCACGTTTGATCGTGTTTATTGCGTAGATAGTAAAGTGCTCTTGAATTAATTGATCTTTTATTGCATATGAAATGAACGTGACCTTGATCGGCATTTGTTCATCTAAGGGTACTGATCTACACTATTACATGTAGAATAACCTCTCATTTTGAAAGTACTTTTATCTTTTCGCTATTACATTCATCTGATTATTGATATCATTATATGTTGATTGTTGATTTCTCTTTTTTCATAGTGTATTTTAACCATTTCGTTTAGTAATTTCAGTAAACTCATTTTCATTTCAATGTAAAATTTAAAGTCGATGAGGTCATGATTTGATTTTTTCACATACACAATATTGAACTAGAGGGCTTAATGTCACTTTGTAAACAAATATGTTGTACATGTAGTACAACAGTCACACAGACCACTAAGTAAATTAAATGGCATTGTTACTTACTGTATCGTTATGCTGTATGCTACATATTATTAGGAATTTTACAATATAACACTGAAAGTGTTTTTGTTTTGTTTTTATCAATGTTATAGTTTTCAACCATAAATATTGATTTCACGTACCGATAAACTATCAGATTTATTACAAGAAACAAATTCATACTATTTCAGAATTAATCACCGAGTAAATAAGTTCGTCAAATGTTTCATACTTGATATATATTTAGTTTATATATTGCAAGAAAAAAGTACATTATGATGCGTACAAAAGACGTGTTGTTAACAGGGCGCACAACTTATTTTTCGCTGTTGGTCTTATATGATCTAATACATTATATTATTTCACGGGTTTTTGTTATTTTGATATATTTACGGATGTATGTATATGACGCTCGGTTTAAAAATATGTATAATTTGTGACAATAAGAGTGTTTTAAAATCAAGCACCGTTGTTTGGTTGTATATACTATTTTATAGAAAAATACAATATGAAATAAATTATGTTTAAATTATTGTGTTTCCTTATTTGTTAGTGAGAAATGGTTTTTTCTTTTTGGTTTTGTTTGATCATTTCAGGTAATCAAATGCACATTAAATCAGTCCTACATTTTGTAATCATTTAAACAGTGTGATAAAAATCAGTTGGACGTCAGCTCATCACTGTTGCCTAATCTTACGGAAAATCATACTGCCAACTTGTACAGTAGAAAGTCTCGATATGCCAATGTAAAGTAATTAACAAGGTTTAAAACATGATTATTAATATTTTCTGCTTTATTACTTTGTATTATAGTTAAACTATAATTTAAAAGTAGAACATTTAAGGATACTGAGTGCGTTCATGTCACAATGTATGACACTAATATTCTTACGGAGTATCTGTATATTTCTTGTATGAACGGATATTCTTCCGTAAATAAATTTATTTTGCACTTGATTGAGAACAAAGTTATGCCACGTTGATTACAATGTTTTAGCCTGTGTGAAATACAAGTTTTGGCTTTTTATTTTTCATTACTGATATCCAGACCGAAAATTTTGATTTGTAATAAAGCCTAATATGTACAACTGATATCAATACTTTTAAACTCTATTAAAATTATTCCTGTTATAATTTTAATTCAAACAAAAGGAAAAACGAGAAAATAACAAGAACAAAAAAGTTAACGTTTTATCATGACACAGAACCGTGCTATTTATACTCGATTCCTAGTTAATAAGTTAAAAATGATCCAACTGTGTAAGTATTACGAATAATCATACAATTTTAAGTATATATAATCCATACTTAAGAATTAATCAGTTTATGATTGAAGAAGCGTTTGCCACATGATGCTGAAATAAATAGAAATTAGTACAATGTATAACGTTAAGTACTTACATAACAAAAATATGTGAATATGATCGGCCAAGAGATGCCAAAAAATTATTTATTATCATCTATGCATCATTTTGGAAATATTTCGTTGATTTTTAGATAGGCACGATGCTGATTTATTTAAACTGCCATACACATATATTTGATTTACGTAAATATATATAGCATACATTAATTTGGCAGAATATTAAGAATTTGAAATATTTGCTTGCTAAACACCAAGGCTTCATCGTCAGAGAATTGTTTCAAAATAAATTTACACATAAAGAAATGCTGAATACGGAACAGCCCTAACTTGTTTGTTTTTTTTTACATTTTTTTCGGAGCAATTTGAATTTGTTCAATTTTTTTAACATAATTTGTTTAATTCAGTTTTTAACTGGTCTGACAAAAGTGTTAAACCAAGTATGATATCGCCTTTTTATCATCACTTAAGTATACAAAACATCTGCAGTTAAAGAAGTTTAATTGAACGTTTGAGTAAGCAAATCAGTAATTGAATAATGTTTGGGAGTCAGTGGACGAACAAGCAAGTGAGTGCGACTTTCACCTTATAAAAATAAGGCTATAAAAACGTCCGTTCGAGCTTGCAGAAGCCAGCACAATAGAGGCAGTAAAAACAATAACATAAACAGTTCAGTAAATATTCTGCAAACGATCTAAATGGTCTTACAAATATTTAAAATTCAAGAAGTATTATTTTGTCATATCTTTTTGCAGGCGAAAAGAATATTCATGCAGTAATAGTTACGCTCTAAAAAAGTCCATTGGGCATTGCACAAAACAAATCAAATACTCAAATAGACGTCTTAACAATGAAAATATCAAGGGCATGGTATTAATTGATTCCATTGTAGAAGTCGTAAAAATCAAAGTCATGCAAAGTTCCTTCTAATAAAGTGTGTTGAGAATGAATGCAGAATCAACAAAATGATGACACAATTAAAGAGAAATTAGCCGGCAAAGAAAGTAGGTTGAACAGCGTTGATCTGTAATATTAAAAATGTACCCTTTAGTTTTCAGTAGTATATGAAGACATAAAGAAATAAATATTGACATTGAAAAATTGGTTAATTGTTGCAGATTCGAGTTGATTAAGCCTATTATTGGACAGTAGTGGTTTATAAAATTCAATACTCTACCTTGGAAATTTGAAATATCTACAGATATATTCATACGGCTGTGAGGCGCGTTCGTGCCATACCGTGAAAAGTGAAATGCATCTACACGAGAAAACAATAACAATTAAAATTTAAATTTAAAAGGGATCAGGGGCTAAGAAGCCTGCATGTCACAATTAGCAATCGAAAAATATCTTAGTGGTGTTTGAAAAGGTACTTCAAACACAGCAAACACAACAATTATGTCTTCTAAACGAATCAACAACACTTAGTCTAACAAAAATAGAGAAAAAAAATGCAACATACAAAAACAAATCAGTTTGTGGTGATAGGAGATAGATGTGATAAATGCAAGCTACCGTAAATGTTATTTGTATACTTTAAAAAGAAGCATGCCAGGAGTCTTTTGAAGTTGTTGAAGATTTGTTTTATTCGAAATATTTGGAGGAATTTTTGCATAAAAGGCACAATGAATGTTTATCAGTTACAATTAGTTAACAAAATGTAATTCATTTTATATCGAATAAAGTATCATAATGAAAGTTTGTTTAACACCTTATTGTATAATGTTTTGGAAGAGTATATGCCGGAGAAATGGACATCAGTGATATTTTGTCTACAAAGGGAACACTTTTTGTTATGTTACCAAACTAAATTTAAAATAAATGATATATATTAAAAGTAGTATCAAAATAAAAGTTTCTTGTAAAATTCAATGATATAATTCAATTCAATGTTAATCAAACATATTTATTTCCCAGATTTACATCAACAATGGTTATAGCATTGGATTGGAATAAAAAAGTATATAAAGCTGCATGCCCCCAATTACAATATTTCAAGAAAATCAAACTTGTGAAAATTTGTGCCATTTGCGCCAAGAAATCTCTGTTGGGTATTTTAGTCATACCAGTTCAAAAGTTAAAAGGAGCCGCACAATTTCGGTACACGGTTCACCCGGTCATATAATAGGGCATGGTGATATCGTAGCTATAATGTTCACTGTTACTGTTTGTTTTTTTAAAAGAAATAGTAAAACGCTATTCAGAAAACAATAATCGATCTATACAGTTTAAGGGATTAAAACGGAATGAACCATTGCTCGTAGTGTTAAGTAGCGTAAATGATATTTTCCTATTTTTCTTTTGTACTGACTTGTTCACGTCGATGTTAATTTTTCGTTTTAAGTTAAGTCGTATTTTGAAGCGGAGCATGTGCATAACAATTTTTGTAGACTGGTTCTACTGATTTAGCTTCAATTAGACACGCAAAAATAGATGCTGCCAGCAATCATCCACAACACTGTGGAGGTGTCTGATGACCTCTCCAATTAAATTAAATCTCGCTAGAAAACAAATGTTATGTTTACATTACGAAATTCCTGCTATCAAGTTTATTGATTAAATGTTACAATATTTTCCTTATAAATATATATCGTCATATTTCAACACGTAACCTGTCAGAATGTAAGCTATCACATCAATTTTTCTCACTGAAATTCAAATATTAATCAAATATTGTGTTTATTTAGCCGTTATTTCAGCCGAATATATGTTATACATCATATATATTCCTGACATGCCTGTTATTGTTTCACTCTCAGCGACGCCTAAAAAGTGCCGACGAATAAACAACAATAACACCAAGTAATATAAGAAATAATGTTGTGTCTCACCTATAGAAAACAATTACTTTAATGCTAGTTTTGTCTCAAGAAAACAAAAAATATTCCCAGTTGAAATTATTTTCTTAATAACAGGAAATGCAACTCGTTGTTGGGGCACAATAAGTAAGTACCAGTGCTTAATACTTGCGACAAGAACAAGTCATATTCGCTTTTAATGGTTTGACGCAACAAAACTAATAAAAGTCCTGATTAACTGAAGGTTTTACTTCAGCCTGTCCGTCTGTACATCGATCCATTATGCACACATTATGTACACTCAACTGTAATCCAGTGGTAGGACTACGTCATCGCGCACCTGCAAAGTGCTCCCAATCTCGACTCGAAGATAAAAAAATATTCTCGTTCGAATATCAAAAAATAATGTAGCGTACCAAAGATTGGCTTTAGTACTTAATGTAATTTTTAATGTTTAAAGTTCTACTGTCTGGTCTAATTTTGTTTGGGAGTCTGAGAGAGAGAGAGCATTTAGGGAAACATAATTTTATCATAATAAAGGAATAAATAACTCTACAGTACGCTTTTATACTAATTATATATATTATGTAATATGCTTAATAATCGGATTTCATATATTCGCATAAAACTTGTGAAAAACATAGTTGTAACTGTACATCTTGAATAAGTCATATAATACCATTATGTGGAAAAGAGAGGCGAGCGTGGCCGAAAGATCAAGGTCGGAGATTTCAAACCACTTGACACTTACCTCTGTGGGTTCGATACCTGCCAGTGACTTGGTCTCTTTCATGTCAGGAAGTTATCCAGCTAGCTTATGGAACGTCGCTAAATATATTCAGGCACCCGTAAAATGCAAAACAAAAGCATGTTTTCACTGCAAAAAAAAATCATAAAAATAAGAAAGATTGGTTACGGACTGATTAAAACAAGAGTATTCCATCATTAGAGCGCAATTGTACTGTTCACCAGAAACATTACATTTTCCGAAATTAGTATTTTGTAAGCTTCGTGACGGTTAATGAATGAATTATGACAAAATGTGTGTTAGTCTAAAGTCATGCTGGTAATAAAATTAAACATTCAGTCATTAGCGCCGATGCTTTTGGCAAACAAAATCTAAAACTTCATGAGGCGTTGATTTTAATGAGAAAAGTGATAAACATAAAAGTCGAATAAACAAGATTTATGGACTTTATTGTCATAAATTAACGCCTGATGATTAAAGGCATTGCGTTTGATATTGGCATTTAAAACTGCACTCGTTTATAGACATGTCGACGAAATTGGCTGTATTTATAGCAGGTTCATTGACGGTTCAATACAAATTTGCAATATTTGGTAGGTTCGATTTATTTGTACTTTGTTTCA